CCTTATGTGGTTCGCCATTCCAACTCCCGCAGGACTTAGGTTACCGGATTCCATTACTGAACAGCAGTTCTTCGTGACCATGGGGTTTGCCCCCGACTGCTGTTCATCACACTAAAAAGTGTAATAAGAAAGGTTGGAACAGCTGGACCTTGTTTCTGAGCTTTTCAGTTCACGTTTCCCTTGGCTTCACTTGTGACGTCCCCTGCCCGTTGATCAAATTGAGCTCTTCCTTACTACACGTTCTTGCATGTACGAAACGTGTTTGTGTATCCTTTCCGAAATGTGGAGAAAACAAACTTCCATATCATTTTTCAGGCCTCCACAAGCCTCAGTATGGTGGTCGGGAATGGGTGTCTAGGGTTCCCGCTGATCACCCGTCCCTTGCATCTCACGAAATGCTCCCATAAGACCAAGCGTCTCAGACAGCCTCTGCTGAGGAAGTCCTACTCATTGCATTCCCGTGGCGGTATTTTTCCACCAAAGTGAGGGGACGAAAAGCAGATATCCGGGGCTATAACCGCGTTGGTGAACTACTGGCAGTTCACCTAGGGGAGTTGGCCAAAAACCCTGATTCCAAACCAACCATGAGGAGGCGTACGAACCACTCACACTTTTCCGGGATGACAATGGTCACCGGCTCGATTGGGCACCATGGACGTTTGACCCCGTCCGAAGGGCGTATGATCCGATGAAGTGGACATCGGCTCCCAATGGATTGCGGTTTTTGCACACCGCCCCGCTGTTTTGCGCGTCAGGCTTTGGTTAACCGAAAGCTCTGGTTGTAGATTCCTCGCGAAAATCCACCTGCCTTGGCTTGGGCAACCTGGTAGTCTTCGACCCACTTGCAAATCGTGGAGCGTTTTTCTTTTTTAAAGATTATTGTACCACGATTTGTTTGGCACACAGTCTGGCTTCAGACGTGCTATAGTGCTATCTTCTATCTCTTCATTGTTTTCAGTAACGTTTAACGGCAACCTGAAAAGTCCCTGCAGCTGTTTAATTCTGCCATCCGGTTCGATAAACGGGGTTGAAGTCGTAATCGAGTAATCTATCGCATCAGCGGCTTGTTCGAAGCGGTCGATGACCTTTTGGACCACAGCTGCGTTAAACTGTGGTCAAACGCCCCAAGTCGTATAATCGGTCTCACAACTGACAGTTAACAAATACGGACAAGCGCATACGCTCACAGTCTCCCTCCGATTCGTGCGTGAGCGCGCTCGCGTGGGTGCATCTATGCGCTGACTGCAGCGCAGTTGGCACTGTGATGTCTTAGGGACAGTCTAATTGACGTGGTTCACACTGTCAATCAGCAATGCACCAGAGCCTGATTCACGCTACACAAAAAGCTACGCTGATGCACTGTGATTTTTAACCACTAGTGAGACAGATTTCAACCTGGGGCGTTTGAAAATCTGCCTTTTTGATGCACGAGAATTCCTGATACACCTGTATGCTGTTGATCATTAGCTATTCAATTCAGTCAGAATAGGTCAGGTTGCACGACTGATAGTGAGTGGCCAGTACCAATCTAACCTTCAGGCTTTCTTCAATTATGTGTTTATGAGTGAGTATTCGTCCATCTCTGCAATTGCTCGGTTTCTCTTGTCTGCAACTAGAGAAATAGAGAAACTACAATGCTCACCGTGTTGGCGAGAAACTTTCAATATGTTGGTGTTCCACGTTTTGCAACACAAATTTGGATCCTAATAGCTTATATTTGGAGAAATTTCAATCCATCTGGCATCGAAAGCTCTTTTAATTGCGCTTTACCACTTTGTTACTAAAGAAGTGTCTTTGCAGGTTCTGTCTAGAAACTGTATCATGAGTTTGAGCTGATGATCACGAGTTACTCGATGGGAAACCTTAACAAAGGTCTCCAAATCGAGCCCTAACATCTCTTTCTTAATCGTAAATACTTTTATGATGTCCCAGTACACCCTACTCTTTTCCGGTGAGAAAAGGCCGAGCGTGCGTAACCTCACTTCGTAAGGTTTATTCTGCAGGCACTCGGCCATCAGCGTTTCTAGTCTCTGGATCTTTTCTAAGTAACCTCCGTCTTTTTTAAAGAACGGTAACGAATTCTGAACACATTACTTCAAATGCGGCCTTACAATGACCTTGTGAATAGGAAAAAATACTTCCGCTTTCCAACAAGAAAGCGCAAACCTTCGTCGAAGTAGTTCGCTTCTGGCTGCGTGCACTGTCACTTCACATTGGGTACTGCAACTAAAGTCTACAGTCACCACGATTCCCAGATCCCTATCACTTTTAACGTGTCTCCTTAGAAGCGTCTCTAATCCCCGTCAGTTTTCAATGATGGCGCAGTGGTTAAGTCGATATCACAGGTGTGGCTTTGGATCCTGTGGTCCGAGGTTCGAGCTCCGCCAGCACCACCCAACTTTGGTGGCAGGCAGCTTTGTTGTCGTCGGTCCAATACCACACCTACCCTATCGAGGCCTTATGTGGTTCACCACTCCAACTCCCGCAGGGCTTAAGTCATCGGTTTCCATCACTGAACGGCAGGTCCTCGTGACTATGGGGCTTTCTCCGTCTGCTGTTCATCACATGAAAGTGTGTAATAAAAAAATAAAAAAAAGAGACCTGGTCTTTGTAAGGCAACTGATCAATTGATCATATTTGCGATTTCTTCTAGGTCTACTCGTCCACTGGATTCAACTACCTTTATATCATCAGTGTAGATGAAGCATGGCGTGCTGGTATGTTCGGTGAACGGCAAAAATAGAAGTGAGCCTGAAATGAACGCATCGCTAGTAACCTAGACGATCGTGGAGTTTAGTCCTCCTGACCTGACGCATAGGGTCCCGCCTGTCAAGAACTCTGCCATCCAGTGGTATGATTTTACCATTATTCAGTAGAAACTTGGCTTATTTAGCAGTAGTCTATGATTTACTGAATCAAAAGCCTTACTGAAATCTTGGTAACATAACCCTACCGTTTTGCCTTGATCTACCTTCTCCATGACTTTGTCCAGGTAAAATAACTGTTTAGTTAGGTAAGACCAGCTTTTTCATGAACCCATGCTAAGCTTCACGCATTAGTGCGTGCTCTAAAAAGTGGTTGTAGACATGAATCCTGATTCGATTTAGCGTGTACCTACATAGAATACTAGTCAAGATAACTGGTCTGTAGGGTTGTGGATTTGGTCCTACCTAAAGTTATCAATCTTCAATCATTTGCTCTAATGCATGTCTTTGTGTTCTAAATTGAAATGCATTGTACATTGTGCTCACACACAGATCACCCCTATTTTGTCTCCTAATCTCCCCTCTTGTTCCCTCGGCTCAGTCTCTTCGGGACTTCGTCTCACTCACTCTGTCCTCTCTAGTCCCAGCTCTGTTGGCCCTACTGGAAGCAGACAAACGTAATTGGCACATCTACACCGCCACCTCGAACACCGAGTCCGATCACGATGATATCTGTTCACCGCCAGATGCACAATCTCGGACCAGTCCGTCCGCAACCAGTAGCGTTTCAAACACACCACCGGCCCCACGTTGCTCCGTTGATCTATCTGTGCCGGGGATGAAACACGCATTCACCACACGTAAACAGATCTCAGAAGCCTCGTCCTCATTGGATGAGGACACATTCTACTCCACTGTCTCCCCATTGTTGAACGCTCTGGTACAATTCCTTGGCGGTCATCGCGTCTCATTTCGCACCCAACCTATCTCCGACCAGTGTGGCATTCTGAGCCAAATCACCGAATTGATCATGACCACAGTCGAACCGGAGTTGACCGATTTCGAACAGATCACCCGCTGCATGGCTGATTGTTTGGTACTACGATCGCTGTGTCACGTGCTCAGTTCCGTGTTTCATAACCGGTACAAATTGTCCACGGCCGCTGTGACTGACCCATCCCAGTTTTCAGCCAATACGGATATGTGAGTGTTCGAGTTGCTTGTGATGGGAAACCGTGCACAGATCTTTTGAAATGATGTGGAATGATTGTAGCTCGGGATGCGGCTGTTGGTGGTGGTGAGTTCGCCGAGCTGTAAGTGTTATTCTCAGACGCTTCGTAGCTAAACTAGGAAACATCATCAATGCGACCTCGGGGAAGCACTGGTCCTCAGTGGGATCGGGTTTATATAGTTCTGTTTGAGGGTTTCGATTGGCTGTTTGCGTCCCTTTAATCCTATTGGCCAATAGCAACCGTTTGCTGTGATTTGTTGGCTTTTCGTTGTCATGGTGACCATCCTGTTTCATTGGTCCACTGGTTTTCCTAGACCAAGCACAAATCGGTTTTGAACCGGTTCCAAACTGGTTTCGCACTGGCGCTCCCTCGAAGTCTCACTGATGATGTTGCTTAGTTTGACTACGAAACGTCTGCGAACAACACTTCCAGCTCGGAGAACCCCTCGACACCAGCATCGATCTTTTGTCTAGTTTTTTTGTTTTAATACACACCAGTGTGTAATGAACAACAGACGGGGAAAGCCCCATAGTCACGAAGACCTGCAGTTCAGTGATGGTAACCGGCAACCTGATCCCCGAGACTTGGAGTCGCAAACCACATAAGGCCCCGATAGGTTAGGGTTGGTATAGAACCGGACGACAGCAAAGCTGTCTACCACCAAAGTTGGATGGCGATGGCGGGGTTCGAACCACAGAGTCCAAAGCACGCCGGTAACAGTGACTAAACCACTGCGCCACAACCACCACCCTATATTTGTGTATTGCGCAACACTTCAATTGGCATTAGCGGACAGCCGACTGCTGAATCCCCAAACCACGTAACGTTTTGATTTGTCAACTTAAGAATGTCTCTTTTAACCAGTTAGAGGAACTAGCAAACGGTGAGATAATTATTAACTCTTAAACAGAAGTGAAGCAATAAGCGAATAACAATAGATGGCCATATATATATATATATATATATATATATCGCTGGTGTGCTTTGAACACTATGGTCCGAGGTTCGAGCCCCGCCATAGCCACCCATTTTTGTGGTAGACAGCTTTATTGTCGTCCGGTTCTTTACCAACCCTGACCTATCGGGTCCTTATGTGGTTCGCAACTCCAAGTCCCGGGGCTTAGGTTACCGTTTTCCACCACTGAACAGCTGGTCTTCGTTACTATGGGGTTCGCCCCGTCCGCTGTTCATCACACACTGGTGCGTAATAAAAAAAAATTGATCGAACTCGTGCAACAGGATTTTCATCTTTCAATATCACTCCCATACATCGATAGCTACTGGTATAAAACATCTATTCCGAACTCCATTTTCCACCGCATGGACGTTTATTCTTTCCAACAAGTGAATATTTCATGAGGCTGTTTGTTCGGCTCAATGCGAGTACTCTGAATAGCATATATTTTTCCATACAATGTAAAGGAAATATACTAGTAAATTATGATATGTCATCATAATTTATTCCAACATATATGTGGCTACGGACTGCACACGCAAAATCTCGCATCATGAAGGGAATAAACGTAAACGTGAAAGTTAGTCTTCGAACAGTAAGCTTGAGGTGCGCGGCACGTCATCATGTCCGAACCGGATGATAAATCCAAGAGTTTCCGATATACAATTGAAGAAGAGAGGGAACACATAAAAGAAGCGTGTAAATCCGGTGTCACAGTTGTTGATCTGTACAGATGCTTCACCGTGAACAGAAGCACAATTTTCCGCATAATTCAAGGTATTTCTCCGTTGAGATGTCCGTGTGGAGGAAGGAAACCAACCGCATCGAAGCAGGACAACGACTACCTAAAGTTGCAGCTCGAAGAAAAATTGGAAGAAACTAATATTCAGTATAGTACGGGCAGATTTACTGGAATTTTCGTATGCCAATTCGATCACCTCACCCCACCCCCGCCTCGAAAAAGAAAATCCTTACAGCAGTACATTATTACGTAAACTTTCATTACTTGACCCGCGACAGACGCCTAATGTTCTATGTTTTTGAACTATCCGTTTCCCGCCACAGCTGTTCACAGTTTACGGAGTTCGCGAAACAGTACGACTCCGCAATTCGCCTGCTCTCTGAGCACTTGGTTGATTTGTCTGCCATGTACTGCAATAATCTGATCGTTGATGTCCACCTGCCCGATCAGACCGGATGTGCCAACAATTGGTCCGGGCTGGAATGCAATCGCAACGTTCGGACGTTAGATGCGTTCCTACATCGTCTCTGGCATTGTCTGGGTCAGTCTTGTCCGGCTGGATTATCTCGACAGTTGCTGGCTCATATCGGTGCTCAGTGTCTCGGGTCATTTGTTCAACTGTTTGCCACAGAGGAATATGCAGTCGGAACCGATCCCATTGTGGCTAGGTGAGTTGTTGTTTTTTCTTGTCCCCCTCTGTCTCTAAATAATGAACTTATTCTCTCTCTCTCACCCCCACCCCTAATTCGTTTGGTAATAAAAGGATATTTTTTTCAAACATGCTTATGATTGATTTTTTTTATCATTCCATTGCTCATTTATACCAAAAACTCTTTCACATACTCCCGAGTTCACACAGTGTCTTTATGACACGTGCTGCATGATTTGTGGGCCCGATCGTATCAGGTTGCTCAGATCAAACCAGGTTGTTTTCTCTGGGCATTCACGACCAAATCCTTAGAATAGATGAAGCTCAACCCGTGCTTTATCGGGGTAATGTTTCATAGAGTGAATAAAATTCCCCAGCTCATTGGGGAGCTCCGACACAGTTGTGCTGCCGGGTGACTTTAACGAGCAGGTTGGAAAACTGAACGCATCTTGCCTAGGCGGTTATTGTGCTCTGTCCTGCCAGCGAACAGATAATAGTGATAGACACTTGTAGTTCTGTGCAGACCATCATCTGTTCCTATCGGACACCTACTTCCGACACAGTTCTCAACGGACAACAATACAAAGCTCCAATTCAACTGGTACGTTATATTAGATCGATCACATAGGACAGTACAAGACTGCAGGTCCTATTGGGCCTATTTAATCAGGACTATGGCATGAACCCAGCACGTTGTAGCTTATTGGCGTAGATCAGCAGTGGGATCAGATTGAACGAGCAATGTAGCTAGATAGGATTGCTTGTGGTTCTAAACCTGATCCCGTCCGAGGTATTGGACATCTGATGAGTCAGTCGCACTGATGGAGAATAAGCGGCAAATCCCTACCACCCGGGATCAAGGCAGGGTTAGGTTTTTTTTTATTACACACCTAGGTGTGATGAACAGCAGACGGGGTAAACACCATAGTCACGAGGACCCGCTGTTCAGTGATTGAAATCGGCAACCTAAGCCCCGGAACTTGGAGTGGCGAACCACATACGGCCCCGATAGGGTAGGCGTGGTATTGAACCGGACGACAGCAGAGCTGCCTACCACCAAAGTCGGGTGGCGGTGTTGGGGCTCGAACCTCGGACCATAGGGTCCAAAGCACGCCGGTGACAGCGACTAAACCACTGCGCCACCACCACCCGTCTACAAGGTCATCTCACCAGGAGTCTCAAGAAAGATCGTAAGAACTGGTGAGCAACGATATCGAATGAAATAAAAGTAGCAGTTGCATCAGGGAACAGTCAAAGACTGTTCCAGCTGATGCGTAACACGGGAGGTCAGCGAACCACAGTTAGTGAAACAATCTACGACAAAAATGAACAAGCTATTCACAATAGGGAACAACAGTTTGACCGGTGGGTAGAGTATTTCAGCGAACAGTTCGGCTGGCCAGGCGCTAACCAGACTTTCTCTTCTTTTGTAGCTGAGGCACCGTGGGAAGTGTCATGTGAGCCTCCTTCTGCAGCAGAAGTTCGATCTTGCATCCAAACTCTGAGGAAAGGAAAAGCAGCAGGACCGGACGGGCTTCTTTCTACTCCTTTCAGGATAGAGTTCGACAAAATCACCAAGTCCATTACTGATTTTCTATGTACCGTCTGGTCGCAAGAGCGAATTGCATCATCTTAAAGCGAATCTCTGATCGTTCTAGCTTTCCAGAAGGAATCTCACAAAGCCTGTGCAAACCACTGCGAGATACGTTTGATCGTAGATCCCCTATGGGTTCGCTCCTTCGCAAAAGAAAACCGCAGAAGTATGTGAACATACTAATTTCACTCTACTCGCATGCTTCTAGTAGCGTAAGGGTTTACGGCTAGCTGAGTAGGTCGTTCGTAACTAGCAGCGGTGTTCGTGAAGGCTGCCCTCTTTCGCAATCGTCATAGACGAACAACTGGAGGATGAATTAAGTGGTCTCCAAAATGTTGTTGTTGAATAGACAGATAGAGAAAAGCTGTGACAGCCAGAGTATACTAGCCTCATCATTTGCCTGTTCGAATGTATGGAGGAGGCACAAAACGCACTGGACAGACTTGCAAGTTCTGCGGCTCCGTTCGGCATGTGCTTTGCACCTTCAAAGTGCAAAGTGATACTGCAAGACCGGGTTCTGTTCTGAAACCGCACAGTCAGGAATCAGATGAATTTGACTGCCCCTCGTACCTGGGTAGCTGCGTGACCAACGACGATAGTGCATCAAAGAAGATAACCGACCGCATTTCCAGGGCCCGAGCAACGTACCT